TGGGGTAGCATTTGGCAAAGGAGGGATGTATGTATTCATGAAGCATAAATGCTGCCAGGAACGTGACTGTTTAATTAGTATAGATTAAACATTTGGAAGCAAAAAACAAATGCAAGACATCATTCATAACTTAAAATGGAAAAAATGGTAAGTCAAATGTCTATAAAATGCACAAATAAGTTGCTGATTCTTTGAAAAATTCTGTAGTATGGACACAAACTATACAATCAGGAAGGTTTTTCATTTGATTGAGTATTGATAGCCCTTCATAATGGATTAATAGCATCTCTGCCAATGGTTAGAAAACATACTACTTTTAGTACATACTAAAGGAAAGACACGCTGTCTTTCTTGCCAATTTAAAGCTTGTTAAAAAAAAAAAAAAAAAAGCCTTGGCTATAAAAGCAACGTGCTGGAATGTGCTCCAATATTATTGACCTGTCCTTGTTTTCTTGGCAATTTAGCTGGAGTATTTTTGCCAAATTTTATGATTTTATATGATTTGAAGTAATAAAGCATGATGCAGCTCCAAAGTGGTGACCTTAGAGAATATTTTCTCTCTACAAATGCATCACTATAACTTTGTAACAAATCTTAACTGTGAAAGTATTTCAATTTTCCCAGCTGTTTTTGCAATTTAAGCATATTTTGTGACATGTTTTTTCCCATCTGTACTTTCATTTATTATACTTTGTTCAAGAATACATGCCAGTCAAATTCTTACAGAAAAGACAGAATGTTTAATAAAAAAAATCCCAAGATGAATCACTGAGATGCTATCAATTAACTACTTCTTTCAAATATTCCCTCTCCCTTGTATTATCTTTAAGATAGGATTCATTGATTGACTTACTCCCTCAAAAGCAAAATTTCTGAAAGATGCATCACTAAGAGTCAGCTATTAGTTTTTAACCTTTATTTTGTTCAGTAACAATAATGCAAAAATGGTTAACACAATTCTTATAATATTCAATATTATTTGAATCAAAAAGAGATTAAACTATAGCTAGTGTCATGGCAAGGGAGAAATCTGGCAAATAATCCCTGTTTCACCTTCCCGATTTGAGCAAAATATTGACATGCTGTTCAAACTACCAAACCTCCTGACTGATGGATGAGGACTGAGGCATTCATTCCTGCGCCCTTTCCTCTTTTAAACCTCTTTTTTACCCAAGCTATTCTTCCTCCTTCAGAAGCTCTGAGTGTGCTACCGCTTACAAAGAAAGGAGGCTCCTTGGCAGGAGCTGATGAATAGTTTCTACAAAGAAATGTGCCACAAAGAACAGCAGTCCTGCAAAAATGGCTGCTAATCCTCAGTGTTGTCAGTGTAGCTCAGCTGTGGCTGTGGGAACTGGAGCCTGTGTTAAAAAAGTCCTTGCACCACCCTGTCAGCAAAACCCAAGGGCCTTGCTTGCCGCAGGTATGCAGTGGGAACACGTTCAGCTGTCACCAAGGTCAGTGGGAGATGGTGGGGCATTCTGGATGGAAGTCATTCTTTTACTCCTTTGTGAAGAAAGATAAAAGTACCTGCCACTAAGAAAAAAGATGTAAAAAGTGCTACTATCTACAGTTTTGCATTGTATGATGAAGAGAGAGGGGAAATAAGCAAAGAGGGATCAGTGCATATCTTAGTTCAGGTCAGAAAAAGAGATGCTATGATATGTACATGCAGAGAATGTACAAAAGTGGGAGAGGATTAGTGAGTATGAAGGAAAAATCAGAAGGGTTTTATGTAATCATGCTTTATAGGATCTTTAGGGAAAAAAACCACAAGAAGTTCCAAAGCCACTTAACAGGTCATTATAATTTTGATGCTTCATGTTGCTCCAAATTAGAATGATTGAGTCAGATAATAAAACTGGCTTTAAATCTTAAATCCCTTTTGGTATTCACATTTCAGGCTTTCAAGTAAGCACAGATACTTTATTCCCTAAATTACATATTTAATATTTTTTAAGTTAAAAAACAGATGTGAAGACAAACTTAAAACTGGAGTCAAGAGAATACTTCAGTGATTTAGAAATCCCCACATAAATGAGAAATTATTTGAAAGAGATTAGATACTTGGAGATATGCTTATACTTACAGATATTCAAATAAGATAAATTATGAAAATGTAGATCTGTGTGTCCAAACAAGATCAAATGTAGATCTGTGTGTCCAAGGTTACAAGTACAGTGACAAGGGGTATAAAAATCTGGCAACCAGAACCACCAGATGCCTTAAATAGTAATCATGGGTTTTGCATACTGTATTCAGAGCAACCTTACATCTGTGTGTTTGAACTGGGCAATTGCCTAAGCCTACCATAAAATGTTTACCTTACCTTTAAGCCCAGAATTAACTCCTTTTCTAGTAGCCTGTTTTGGAATAACTCAGTGATAACAAAGAAGTCATGCAGTTCTGCAATCCTATATGCATAGATGACTTTGCTCAGATTCTCATTCTGCTCTCTCTTTGGTGAACAAAGAACCTTGAAGAATGAGGTTAAATATCCACAACTATTTCATGAAGGAATCAATGCTCATGAACAATCTTTCTTTGTTATCTATTTATTAGTGTCTTTCTTTTTATTTTGGACTTTTTTTCCTAAATTAAAGATGATGTAATACTTTCAATGCACTAAGTCTGACAGACGAAGCCAAATCCTTGATCTTGATAAAGATATTTCCGTACTTAACTATGATACTGAGGCAAATAAAATTCTGGAGATTTCACTTCATAGTCTTGTAACAGAGCTGCATTTGAGCAAAGTTTTTTTCAATGTTATCTTTAATGATGCCCAGTCTTCCAGATTCAGTTGCTAAGATTAATTTGGACTCATAAATAATTTAATCCCCAGATGTCTAGGGGCCTTTTCAGAGGGAAGGTTAGTTGTTGTTCTTGCTCTTCACCTCACTTCAGTGAAAAATTATTTAATTTTTTTGTAAAAGTCTGCAGAATTTTGCAAATATCCTTTTACTATAGTGCACCAAACACCAATTTGCATTGCATTTTAAAATGAATTATCACTATACTCTGACATCTCAGTATAATGATCAAGGACCAAAGATACCTTACTATTACTACTCAATTAAAGGCACTGATCATTGTCCAACCTAAAAGAAGAAGCTGACCTAAAAGATGCCACCAAAAAATGCAAAATATTTCAACATGTTTGGTCAAATTAGAGTTGTCTCTGGGTAGAGAAGCTTTTGAAAATGAGGAATAGCCTGGAGCAAAAGGTAACACTTAAGAATCAACCCTATGAATAGTGAATAACTGTAATTACCATAGTATGATGGCAGTTGAAGATACCCATGGTTCAATTATTATGCCAAAATCCAGCTGATTGTATGCTTTATTCTAGTATTCAAAAAGATCATTATGCAAAGAGCATGTAAAGGTTGCCTAAAGACTGGTTTAAAATCTTTGTGGTACACCTGAGAAGTATGTTTATGAAGCAAAACAGTAGATTTGGGTCAAAGCTTATATCACAATAGGTCAGAAATCTCCGTGTTGTGCACTGCAGTATCTCTCTCATGGAGAGACTGGAGTGAACAAACAAATACTACTTTAACAGTTTGGTCACACTGGGCATCAAGAAGTAATGGTCACTTCAAATATAAGAATATACTGCCAGTTTTAGAGCTTTTCATCTCTTAATATTCTATTTTCTTCATTTGCCGCTTTTAAAAAAAAAGCTGTGAAGTAAGAAAAGTTACTCCAGTCCTTGCTCAAGTAACATCTAAGGGGAAAACCTTAAATATTCAAAGCTGATAGATTTGCCCATCTTTAGCTGCTTGAAAGTGGAATGGTTATATTTGAACAGTGGTTTATAAAATATTAAATCACAAGATGCTTTTTCCCACTGATATAGATAGTAGCCATAAAATAAAGTTCAAGGTGTCTCATTGCCACAAGCCATCATTCATGTAAAGATAAGACTATCAAAATGTTATTTTTAAAAAAATCAAGATATCAACCTGTTTTACCATTTCACTTAGATTAGGAATTTGTGCTTAATGACACTAGCTATTTTTTATTAGCTAGTATCCTCTTTGTAGTAGAGCATGAAACTCAAAATTTATTATGGTTCTCTTAATAGAATAGTGTTGGAGTGAAGTAGAAGTTTGATTCTAGAAATTTCCCCAGTCAATGGAAAAAACTGAGTCTTGTGGCCCAGACTTTGATAAATTCAAACATAAGCAATGACACATCAAAGAAATATGAGCTATTTGCAATTACTGACAAGAAATAAAGAAGTGTGAAGAAAAACCAGACTGCTTTTTCATATTCCAGGCAGGTTGAAAGAAAGATTTATGCAAAAGGCTACTTTAAATTTCTCTCGCTACTTATTTTTCCTCACTTTCTTTGAAAGCAGGGTACTCTGTTACAAAATTAATACTAAAAAAGCCATATTAGTTTAGACAGAAATTACTTCAGAGTCAAGTATTTTAAACAACTTTTGCATTCCTTAATATTAACCATTTAAAGTATTTATAGATTTTTCTACTCTTTTGTGTCTTTATTTGAAATTCTCTCTGATAAAAATGCACACATAACAATGTTAAATGACATCTGACCTCTTTGAATTCTAGTCATGTGATGAAAAATGCTTTTAAAATAGTTAAGTGTAAATACAGGAAGATGACTAAACTTTTATCTTCTAAAAAATTCCCATCACTGCCTAAGCTGGTGAAGCTCCTCTGATGGTTACAATGGTGGGAGCACTAGAGCAGAAAGACTTCCAAGTGCCCACAAGCACTTTCATCACTGTACCTACTACCTCCCTCCTGCAAATCTCTGTTCCTGCCTTTAGAAAATGAGTGGCCACACATTCCTTATCACATTTGGTTTTCCTCTCGCAGAACTTACCATTGGGAAACTTAACATAAATGCATAACAGACAAGGACAAGAAACCAATTTGTTTAGCAGGGCTGCCAGCAAGCTTACTGCACTACCCCCTTTCCAACATTTAAAGAATGCAACTATCTTCTCTCTTTCCTTTCCTGTGTAGCTTGAGAATTACATCCAAGACAGTATGAAGAAAGAAATGGTAGAGATCCAGCAAACTGCAGTGCAGAACCAGACTGCAGTAATGATTGAAATAGGCACAAACTTGCTAAATCAAACAGCTGAACAGACCCGCAAATTAACAGATGTTGAAGCACAAGTAAGTAATGAATTTCAACCTCAAAATGCTTCTGCTTCCCAAATGGTACAGCTATACATTTAACACTGTTTAGTGTTACACGCTGCTGTTCAACAATTAGAAGTCAATCGTTATGACCCACTAAGTTCTCCCCAACTTAAGGAAACATTATTATTTGGTAAGACATAGTTCCATCTCAAGCCCAGTGTTGTCACTTGAGTGATTTTCATTGCAGTAGCATTTTAAGTAAGTCTAGAAAGCCAACTGTTAAATTAATCTTTCAAGAGAATGTATTTAAAACTACTATACTATATCCAGGCATCAGCTGGATCCTAGTGTGCTTTATACAGCCCTCTCATTACTAATCTTAGCTAAATGAGTCTCTTCAAACTGTCTCTGTTCCATTTACCAGCTTAATTGCTTTTTAAAACTAAATCTTTCCTTTTTATTTTTTTAACTTATCAAGAGAAATATGTCTTTTTAATTAAAATGTTTTCACAGATAATTCTAAGTGGGATAACAGTTCATTTCCAGCACAATGCACTGTATTATGGTTAACAAAGGGATACATAAACAAATCTGAGATTAATCAAGAAAAAAGAAATTAGGAGGCTGCTAGAAAAGTATATTCACACAGAAGTAAACTTGTCTACTGTATATTTGTTAACTTCAAACAAAAACAAATGGATTTTAATTGAAAAGCATTAAGTAAAATAAGACATTCTGTTAAATAGAATGCAGATATTAGTAGAAGGACAAGTCCAATCCATGTAGAGTGGAATGTATTTGTAGTTTTGCAGATATGGTAGGAAGATGCAGATCTATAATCGCCAAAACATATAATGGATATATCACACAGAACATAATATTTTGTATAATATAAAAAGTATGCAAAGCCTAAAATTCATGTTAGACACTTTACTATCTGTAGAATTAATCCAATGAATTAAATTACAGTTTTTAACCTAAATTAAGACTCTGTGAACTCTTTGATAAACTGATAATCCATAGTTTATAGGCATACTCAGCTCAACTTTCATTGTATTATTCAGGAGCTTAATATTTTGCACATGTTGAGAGACTGTATTTATTAATTCACAGTAATATCTTTATGGAAATTACTCAATTATTTTTTGCTTAGAGGAAGAAAATCATCACTGTAACTCTCCTTCTCTGCTTGAAATTACTGGTGACTGGGTTAAGGGCTTAATTAGCAACATAAGGAAATTAACCAAACAATTGCTCTCTCAAGGACACTTACTTTTGGCAATAGTTTTCAATTACACTTAAGTGTGAAATCATGTCCTGAATGACTTTTTAACATGAAGGACATGAGTAATCAATTCTTCCTGTCAAGGAAAGCCAAATTCTGTTGAATTAAAAAAAAGCTATTCTAAAACAATGAGAAAATATTTCTAGAAAACTTGCCTTAAAGTAATGCAATACAGACTATAGAGTATCATATATGTTTCTTAGTATCTGCATATCTTCATTTAAAGATAGAAATAAATTGTATAAACAATGCATAGAAAAAAAGTAATATTAAAATGCAAAGAATAAATCGACTAAAGTGTGGTCACTTTAGTCAATTTGTTTCATGTGTTTAATGAAATATTAGTCATGTGTTTCACATGATAAACACTTCAAAATAGAATTTGAGATTGAGTAAAGTAGCTAGGAGAGAACTACCAAATGATTTCACGATTGTGGCAAGATTTCAGCGAGACTTAACTTTCCACAACAGATGGGGAAAACAACTCAACTCATTCTTTGAGCCATAACCATAATCATTCCACTAATGAAATAAGAATTATCCTAAGAGAGGAGAAGGTATAACAACCAAGCTAAAGTACACAGTAATTCTCATCAGAAACGTAGCATACTACTGAAATATTTCAAATGATATACAGTAGTGTAGTAACAAAATTAGTGCAACTCTGCGTACTCTTCTTCATTCTATGAACATTTGTGCCTAAACTAAGTTGAAAAATATTTTTTAATCATAGGAGTACATAGACATTTTCATGATTTCACAACATAACACAATTACAAATTATTTAAAAGACATATCTTTTAAAATAAGTATTTTTTAAAAATTTTTTTCAGGTGTTAAACCAGACAACCCGACTTGAACTTCAGCTTTTGGAACACTCTCTTTCAACAAACAAACTAGAAAGACAGATTTCAGATCAGACCAATGAGATAACTAAATTACAAGAAAAAAACAGGTAAGTTTGTACAGCCCAATAAAATGTTGTTCCAAAGTGCTCTTCTAATAATTTTAGAAACAAATGTACTTAAGTAGGAAAATAAAGAGTTTGTACACACTCTCCAAACTGATTACAAAATGTTACCCACACTCATTACAAAGGTCATATATTACTTAAAGACTAGGAGATTCATGCAGGTTTATTCTTGTATTCTGTTCACATATTGTTCTTCACTATCTAAAGTTCTCCTTTATATGAGGAACTTGGGGCTAAAACTGAAACACTATTTCAATTTTACCAAATTTCTATTCTTCTTTAGACTTATCCAAATGAATTTGATGTAACCTGATTCAAACTAAGTGAGGGTAACCACATCTCCAAAATTTTATTTCCATGTAGTACACAGCTATCCTAACAATTAACCAGGCCATTGCTACAATTTTTTAATTTAATGTAGTGAGAAAAATAAAGCACTAATCCTATTCAATGTTCCTCAAAAGTCAATGTTTTGAAACTGACCAATATCCAACTATTACTCCAATCCTCTTCTGTAGTCCAAAGGCTCATACCTTTTTTCAGCTAGCTTTGTTTCTTTGGCAATAAATAGTTTACAGAGGAATCTAAAAGCAGCAATAACAGTAAGTTTTCTCCTTCAAAGCAATGTTTTTCAATGAGAACCATATGTGCAAAGTGCTTTTCTTTGAAAGAATTAGCTTAAGAAACCCAGGAGACATGTTTTGACATTTTTGTTCATTACTCTACTACATTTATATATGTTCCCTAAAGGTTTTATCTACCAACTTAAGAAAAACAAGCATCCTTATCAAATGGAAAGCAAAGGAAATACTGATTTTTAAAAGGTCATGTTTTTTGGTGTTGAACTCAGCAGACTTTAGACTACCCTTGTAACATCCACATAAAACACAAAAGCATTGTTTCTCACCTAACAAAATACAATCTGCTTTGAGCTAAACCGCTTGAAACATAATTACATATATGATTCAGGATTTTTTTTTCAGTAACAGCAATGGATTTTAGGTGAACTTCTCTCTTCTAGCTATGCATCTTTAAACATCAGCTTTCTCAGAGTCTATATCAGAACAATTAGTAGTGAAATATATTCCCAGCCAGTTCCCTAATAATACCAGCTCCAAAACTGGAGAAGGGTAATCCATCTTCAAGTAACTATTTGCACATTTCCCTGTCTTAATGCCATAATATTTATGCTAAGTATTTTATGATAGGATATTTAAATGTTCATAGTTACATCTTTAAATAAGTTTCATCTCTTATTAGGGTAAACCCATGACAACTTAGTCACTTTATCTTTCCTTTAATAATGTTGACTTATCAAACACCCAATTATTACACTTTTAAAGTCCGCAATACACACTGTAGTAGATAATGTTGTTTATTAGTGCACTTACATAATAAACTACAGCATATGTATCAAAACTAAACTTTCATTTAAGTTGTTTGCTGCTTGCATAGCATTAGAGAATGAAATTGAATGTTTATAAAGAAAGAAACACAACATGCTTGATTCTCTTGACATCAGCTCAAAATTGTTTTTGGAGAGCCTAATTGTATCTTTTATTTAGCTTTTTAGAAAAAAGAGTTCTTGAGATGGAAGACAAGCACATGCTTCAGCTGAAGTCAATAAAAGATGAAAAAGATCAGCTTCAAGTCCTAGTAGCCAGACAGAATTCTATTATAGAAGAACTAGAAAAACAGTTAGTTACGGCTACAGTAAACAACTCAGTTCTGCAAAAACAGCAACATGATCTGATGGAGACGGTTCATAGCTTGCTTACTATGATATCGACACCAAACTGTAAGTTAAAGCAGACATGCTTGTATCATTTCAGTGCTATTTCTTAATTTGTGTACATTGGTACCTATAGTCTTACATCTAGTTTGACACACTTCTGCTTCTAAAAAGTCTGTACTTTTTTGCCTTAAATTCTACATCTGAGGTAATTAACCTACTTTTTAGGGGGTGGGAGAAACAACCACATTTTTGTGATTTCTTTTCAACATTTTGTCTATCGTCTCTGGTTTGTCTTCTTAACCAATTCTCCAGTGGTTCAACAAAATACAGAGATGCCAAGTATCATTCATCTCACATGGCATTCACATGTGTTGCAGCATACACTTGCTTGACCATATATCTAAGTGAGACCGCATATTGTAGGTCTGCAACTTTTCTTCCTGGCTCACAGAGATTGTTTCTGCCACCTCTCATTGTTTTTGCACATGGAGTTCATCAAAGAAAGGACAAATTCTAGTGGCTACCAATGGCAAAGGAATAAGCACAGGCAAAGTTTTTAGCCTCCAGAAAACCAGAGTTTTTAGCCCCCCAAACCAGAAAGCACCAGGCCTGCAGGTACTCCCACAAGTTCTTTACCAAGGCATCCTTGTTCATCTTGAAAATGCCTCAGCCTAGCAAACCTTATAGGCAATAATCTCACCCCTAAATGTCTGACAACCCTGCAACAAATCATAGTCACCAAGCATAGCTTTCAGATTTATGCAGATTCACATGCACCATAAAAAACCCACACAAACCATAAACTAAAAGTTATGGCTACACAGGATTCAAACATTTCCTGCCTTGAATGTCTTGTCTAATATGGAACTTGGACAGATTAAGAAGCAGTTCTAAAAGACTGCAGAATCTGGCACAGTTGCCTGTAATGTTCTCAGAGCTGAAAATACAGAGGCATACAGACCCCTATAGAAAAAAATTAAATACTGGGAAAAATGTTAAAAGCTGTAATTAGAATCTAAAAGACAGTATAGGTGATCTATGATACATTATTGTAAGGTGGAACACATAAAAGGGAAAGGGTGTTTGGAACTCCTCGCTTTTAGTATTGTCCTATATGTTATTATCATAACATAGGTTGTAGGTTTTTTCTAAACAAAGTAAATTCCAAGGTTTTTTGTCTTCATAACTGACGCTATTCCCTTAAATACCAAGGCTGTACATGTTCCTGCTGATGTTATCTGCTATGCTAGTGCACAAATAAGTAAACAAGTCAAAGTCATGTTGGCTACAGCACCATTAAACCCAGAGTGGAAAAAATAATGACTGTTTGCCAAAAAGACAAAATTAGCAGGGAAAGCTTCTAAGACAGTATGCAAACAATAGAGTGTGGAAAAGCAATTAAAACACTGAATGTGTTATTTTTCTATTTAAGGCAAAGCACTTAAACAGGTAAATAATGAATAAGCAAGCTAAAAAGAACATAATAAACAACTGTAATATAAGTACGCATTTATATGGCACCGAAACCTTTGTAGTAACTGACTCTGATTGTTAGATTAAATTAAAAAGGAAAATACACAGAACCAACCCCAGAAGGGTCAAACATGAAATATCAGTCAGCAGGCGAAATGCCAGGAAATTCCAACCTCCATAGTTAATATAAGAACTGAACAAAAAGATGAACCTTAGATTGTTCTGTTAAAAAAGAAGGCTTAAACATATGAAAATGCATTTTTTTTACACAAATTAATTCCAGAAGGTATGTATTTTTAGTGAGTTGGGCTGACCTACCAAACTTCAGCTTGGTACATACAAAGTTGTTCCTGTTCAGCAGAGGGGCAAATAAAAAAAAAAGCTTAAAACTTCTTAAGGGTAGTTCCACCAGTCTGTTGCATTATAAAAGGTTTCATAACTCATTTCACAATATACGAGTACTGGCCAAAAGTCATTATTAACCTAATCATTTGCTACTTAGGATGTATATAATAGTAGTCAATGCATGCATAGGTTGTAATCCATGTAGGAGTCCAGTTAGGGCAATGACTGGAAGCAGAAACTGTTCAACTGAATAAGATACAATATCCTGAGTTTTCTCATTCAACCTATTAGTAAGTGTTGACACTTTTCAACCTAACAAATAACCACAGTCCCATCAGAATAATGTCTCCAAACAATACAAAGTTACATCACACATAATAAGTACCTTCATCTGTTATGTCTTTCAGGACCAGACATATTTTTTGGAACTGCTTTATGCCAATTACACCATAAATTGATTCTTAGTAACTTTCATTCATCTCCTCTTAATGCCTTCAATTTCTATTGTATTTTTAATAGCTAAGAACAAATTCATAGCCAAAGAGGAGCAAATCAGCTTCAAAGACTGTGCTGAAGCTTTCAAATCTGGACTGACAACAAGTGGAATCTACACTCTAACAGTTTCAAACACTGCACAAGAGAAGAAGGTAGGATACCTATAAAGAGCTACCTAGCCATGCTGCATGTTAAAGATTATTTGATCTGGCAAATATGCTATTTTAAAGGCTAGTTAATAGTGAAGTTTACTACTTACCAAGTTTTTTTATGAGCATTTCATCACTCCTAGATCTGAGTATCTCACAGGAAGAAAAAAGTCCTTCAGGTGAAATCTAGGCTCAGTTGAAATGAATAACATTTTGTTGTGTGCTTCATCATGCCAGAATTTAATTATTTTTTCCAAATACTGAATGTAATTAAATCAATAAGGTAGTGTAATTTATTTATAAAACCTGTAACTCCAACAGAGTTGCTCTGCATGATCAGCAGACTCCTGTCTCCTTTAAATTCTTAGTTCCTTCATATGCCCAAGGGTCTTCAGGTGGGAAAAGGAGGTAAAATCAGGGGCATGGAAGATTACTCATGAATTTATACTCAAGAAAACAATCTAATATTACAGGATTCATGTATGGGTTCGGTTCTTTGTATCACAGAGTTTTAAGGACATTTGTGTAACAATTAGATTAACAATTAGACATTGTCTATCAGAGAGGACTTTTCTGGGAAATACTGCCCTGGAAAATACTACTGCTGATTCATATAAAAGGTGGGTTTGTAGGGGTTTCACTAAACCAGTTTCAATTCCTCTATGCATATTTTTTTCTCTATGTGTTTACCTGAAATGAATTACAATGTCAATTTAAGTTAAAGCAGTATGCCATACCTCTGTGGAAAAGACCTTGAGCTAAAAATGGCACTTATTGGATTATACATTGGATGCCTGACAGAGATGCTCCATCTACTGAAGTAAATAAAATAATAAGTATAATTCATTTGAAACAATCAATGGAATCTGAAAGGGAGAAAAGTCCCATGTGAATTGTGAGGATAAAGAACCAAAAGCCTGGAGCAAGCATTCAGAGGAGTGGGGCTCATGTGAAGTAGGCACAGCAGGCTGAGGAGGCTAAAGGACATATGAATATAAAAAAATGCTTAATGTATTTCTTAGACAAACACTAAATAATGTTAAGATGTTTTATTTTCTAATTTCTCCTGTAGATATTTCCTTTACACAAAAATTGAAATATTTTACAGAATCCCTAACACTCTACTTCATTGCATTAGAAAAATTAACAGAAGATGTAAAAAAGCAGTGGAAAAAGAGATGCAATGTGGAAAAGGAATTGGTAAAGCTCTGACAGAGAAAGTATTTTTTTTCCCAAGCACAGGATTAGAAATGAAGTTCACCAGTGACTAGACTTGAAGTGCCAGAACTTCATTTAGCCCAAGCCAGATTGTGATCTTTACACTTACAAAGCTCTCAGCTAAAGGAAATAAGCAATTTGTTTGGGTAAGATCTATAAAATATAATAGATAAAACCTGTAGTTTTTTATAGCTATAATCTAGAGAAATTATTTGCAATCTGCTTCTCTGGGGAAAAAAAAGAAGCTGGTTTTTCTTCAGAATAATCTAGTATAAATAAATCAATCAATTTCACAAGAAAATGAGTTACATAAGATGCAATGAAGTGTTTTATTATACAAGAAGCTGAATGGCATTTAAATAGCATAGCTATCTACAGTCACAATTATAAAAGCTAGAGGAGATGAAAGCTACTGCATCTCTAAAGTAATAGAATGCAGTAGTCTTTGTTAGACAACTCAAGAATTACATTCCTTGGATCTCTTACTATGACTTATCTCAAGCATTTATCTTTGGTTTTAATTTTACTGTCAAATATAGTATACAGAACATGTATATTTTCTAAAGGCAGACACAAGTGCATGACATACTACAGAATACAAATTTGTCATAAACTGTAACACTTTGCATTTTCAAAAGTACAAATTTTCTAGACTATAAAATATTAAATGCTTTACATTTGAATATGAAGGCTTTAAATGCTTAATGCAAATACCCATTTTTTAATTTAGTAGGTTAAAAAAGTAGTTAAAATGTAATAACTTCACTTAGTCTTAAATCAATAATTTAATAATATTAAAGAATTAATTATTCTGTGCCTTTCAGATAAAAAGACAGGGAAGGTTTTACTTACCGTATGACATTGAAAATAAGAGACTAAAAAGTTTTAACCTGATGTTGATTCTTTATATAAATATAAATGCATAAGAGGAATTGTCAAGGGAAGTGAAGGTTAGGGACAATCAACATGTTACACCACTTTCAACTGTTTACGATGTGGATAGCTACTCAGACCAGGAAACAGAGTGACCTTTTTTATTTGCCAAAAGTGCTGCACTGCTGTTTATGTTTTCATCTTTTCCTTTTGTAACACCTTCTGACCTCAGAACCAGCTTATAAACAACTTCTGTGTAATCTGTAACTGATCCCACGTAACTGTCTCCCATCATAATCCAAAACTAAGGAATTGCATATGACAACACAGAGGAAAACAATTATTTAATTCCATTAATATTTTCAAACTTTCCTGTTCTGCAACAGGACAAAAGCTAATTCCTTTTAAAAACACTGAGGAAAACAGCAAAAGACTGCTGACATGAGGTAAAAATGGCAGAGGCAAAACTATGAAAAGTCAACAGTTTTATGCTTACAGCAACCTCATGAACCAATTAGACTGTAGTTCTTATCTAGTCAAATCTCTAGGAGACAGAGATAGCAGAATACAAAAATCATTGGATAAAATGACTCCAAAATGTTCAGAAACAGCCAAAAGCGATGCTAAAGGTCACTGCAAAGTTGTGGCGATTACTCTTGGTTTGCTATAAAAACTGCAGTGGCTCTTCGTCCTGACAACCCAGCCTGAGCCTCACCATTCATAAAGTAGGTCTGAAAACACTTATACCCCAAATCACCTCTTACAGTGCTACAGCTGCTAGAGCTGTAAGCACTGAAGCAGTTCACAAGATACATCAAATATTCCATGTTCCAATTTGTTGTAACTTGAGAGGCTAGGCTCTTTATTCTTTTTGGCATATTTTTGAAGACTCCTGCTGCCTGCCTAATCTTGTTATCCATTTTTACTACTTTCATGAAATGTTACATATCTTTCTTTTGAATACAAATTTTGAGTATAAAACCTAGAATAGTTTGAAAGGTCAGAAAACTTCTAGTAACGGTGTTAAGAGAAAGACTTAGAGTTGATTGACATGAAATTTTTTTGGTGGGGAAAAATTATACTCGCAGTTTATGTAAACTTCTAAAAATTGTTACTGGTAAGAAAATTCTACCTGAGGTTTTTATGGTCATCTCTTCAATTTATCATTATGTTTTTCAATTCCTAGTGAGTTGCTTTTTTCTTTGGGAACTAATTTATCTCAAACAATCTATACTGTCTATTAAGCTAGTTGTCTTACTCCTTACTTAAAAAATGGATACTACCTGTAACAGGAATATTTTATGATAGACATTCAGTCATTCACTATTTATATTTTAATCCCATTAGAACAAAATAAAGTGCTAGTTAAAGACACTGATTTTTTCGAAGTATTAATTCCAACTAAATTGAGGTTTAGACAACAGGCATAAAGGAAATTGAGTATAACTTTCAAAAACATCAATTAACATCTACAGTAGCAATATCAGACTGAAACCACAGCTCAAATAAATTAATACATGGCTTCCCACTGTACATAGTTAAAAACCATATATTTCAGAAAAGGGTGAAACAGTTCTATTTTCCATCTGCCTGCTTATACTGTTCTTTTAAGTGAAGCTTCAGTTCCAACAACTTTATCCACAACCAGTGATATTTGATCAGTGTTAAATCAGCTTTTTAACTTGTATTCATGTTTAAAAAAAGTATTTGCACCTGCTTTAGCCCATTCCTAGTATCACTCTTCACAGCCCTCTGTGGAAATTAGTTTTCACATATACATTACACATCATGAGTTAGCCTTCTAAAACAAATTTATCTTCTCATAATACCTTATCTTTAGCCTTTCCTTTGAAGGGAATTTTAAACTAAATTATTTTATACACTGTTGTCAAATTTTTACCAGCCATTAAGTACAGATGTTAGTAAAGCCAAACAAAAAACAGACTTTGAGGTGTAAGGAATTGCATATGTCAGTGTAAGTAGAAATTTCAATTAAATTCCATTCACAAGACGTATGTTAAGAAGTAATCCCTTCTGCAACTTTTTTCCTTATTGATTTTCTCTTCCCTAAAAATCTCCAGCTGAATGTCTTGTGATTTTCTGATGTTGAACTACTGCAGGCTTAAAGTACAGTATCTGCTTTGGATGTCCAAGGTGCAACAGCCTGTTGAAACACTAATATATTTGATATTTGCAGCTGTAAGGATTTTTTTTCCTTTCAAAGGTCTGATGCATTTCAACAGTATATATGACATTGCTTGAACTGTAAATACTCTGATTTAAATAAATATATAGATGTGAGTGTATAGCATACATACAATACACATAAACTAAAAAAATGAACGATATTGAAAACTTAGTAAGGAGCACACTTTACTTCCCAAAATGACACATATAACACTACCGCAGCAGACAAGGAAACTGGCTTCACTGCAGTCATATTTTTCAATGAATTTCCAGGATGTCTAACAGTTCAAAGAGCTCAAATCTGCTAACTGCTAACACTGATAAGACGCTCTCCTATAGAAGAGGATGAAAGAGTCACTACAGCTTCAGTGTCACCCAGTCATGATTTGGGGCAATTATAGGCATATTGTGACAAGCAGCAGTTAGGCAAGAAGTAAGACTACTCAGAGAACTGTTAAACAATGAAGGAAACATCCAAATGAAAAATGAAATACTTGCCTAGTTTCTTTGTAAATAATTTATTTAATTACTCTACAGATGAAATTTCCTGTTGAAGTGTAAGAAATCAGGTCTTGCCTGTACTACTATAAATGGGAAGACACAACACTTATTGAATGAAAGATCTAGAATACAGATTAGAAGTTAATGTAGTTCAATACTCAAACTAGAATTCAAAAATTTTCAAAGATATGAAGTGATTCTGAAGAAGGCTCTGAACTTTGGGATCTTGGCAGAAAATGGTCCAAAAAGTTAAACTTCCAAATGAGAAAACATTAACTGAGAATTCTCCAAAGAGGAATTTTTGTGCAAGAAATTCAGTATCTTTCTTAAAGACAGTATTGGTACTAACAGGCAAGTTAAAGAGATACTGACTTCAGTTTGACTATCATTGTACTGTCTTACACCAGCTTAGCTCCATTGACTTCACACATCTAGTTGTAAGTTCTGTTAGTTTTGGAAAAGCAGAATTAGATGCAACAATTTGAAGGAAAAAGTGTACTAGATATTGTCATATTCACACAATTTTATTGTTAATTTATCCCCTACTTCTCCCAAACGTCACTCAAAAATTCCAATTAATTTTCAAAATACTTTTTTACCATCAGCATCTCTGCAGTATATTGGCACTTTCAGAAATACCTTTCACCTCTGATGCTGAAGTAATTTAATCTGGGAGACTGATTGAACAAGTCACCTACAAACTCGAATTTTACTGTGCCAGGGATGCACTTATTGGGTATTCAAAAACTGAGTTCAGTGAACTGCTTATTACATGACAGTCTTTTCAAATTTTTAGCAATAATTTGGTAAATTTAAAGGTGATTTATGAATATTTAGAAACATCTTATAGTTGTTACTTTTTGTTCAAGCATACAAGTTCATTGCAGTTTGTATAATAACATGGCTTTAAGATACAACTTGCGGATAATACACTTAGATGTAACTTTGGGGTCAGTCCATTTGCAAAGGCACAGGACAATGTCTGTGATAATAAAAATATATTTAAGTTTGTTCACTGCCTGTACTTAACAGTATCTATGTTCTGTCATGAGTAATTTGAATGCATCTCTCACAAAAAAGATGGAGAAATGAAAGATGTCATTTGTTAAGGTATTCTGTTTAGTGTGCTATATACTGAGGAATCACATTTATTTGTGGATAACCACAACTGATTTGTATGAAAGCTATGCAAACTTATATTTTTAGGTTAACTCATACTTTGCACATGACTTACCACTATATAGAATGATGCAAATTACATGATTTCTGGTTTTGTTTTGCTGTGACTGCATGCACTTAGGCTGTTACATGCTTACTCTGGTAGGCCTACTGTGACATGGAAACTGGTGGAGGAGGCTGGACAGTTATTCAGAAACGAGAAGATGGCAGTGTGGACTTCCACCGGACGTGGAAGGAGTACAAGATGGTAAACAATGTTCTCTGAAGCCTTAGTATCAGCTGTTATTATTATCTGAAATCTAATATGCTAAAGTTTTATCAATAGTATCCTTAGAATGCAAGCAACCTTAAAAAGTTGTCTTTGTCCACAAATGCTAATTTTGAATATGTCAGAATAATGTAAGTTGTTTGCCTAAGCAGACTTGCAAGTGTGATGTTTTTAAAGAGAAACCTTCCTTTTTTTTAATCAACTGTTCCATCATATGTCTACATTTTTTGAGTTGTTTATATTTGTGTTTCTAGTGGCAACATTAGAAACTGCTCCAAATCTATTAAGCAATATTGATTCACTGTTTCAGATTCCTGAGCTTGTCCTTGCTGAAATAAACTTTTTGAAACATTACAGATCAATAACCTCCATGGATACAGCAAAATTCTTAGTTGACCGGCTGAAAACTATTAAACTTAAAAACTGATAAATGATAATTTCAAACTCAAAGGATAAAAACCCACCTAAACAAAGCAATTTAAATATACAACTTGAATTACAGGGATTTGGTGATCCTGCTGGGGAGTACTGGCTGGGAAATGAGTTTGTTTCTCAACTGACTAATCAGAAGCGTTATGTTCTTAAAATACAACTGAAAGACTGGGAAGGAAACGAGGCATACTCATTGTATGACCACTTCTCTCTAGCAAGTGAAGAACAAAAATACAGGTAAGCAGAAAAATCAGACCTGATAGCAATCTTTCTACACTATAGATGCATGGCCTTATTTCATACAAATCATGATTATTTTTCAGCTCACTCAGAAAGTAATGTTTTTTCCATTTTTCATCTCTTGCCTAAAAAAATAATTTGTTTTTCCAGAGGAGAAAATGTGCATCCTGGGTGAGTATAACACACAAAACACAAAGATGATGAGATAGTAGGGAATAAGACAGGATACATGCCAATATAGTGACAGTGCACAGTCATTAAGACAAGAGGAACCTGTCAGTCGTTGCTATCAAATCCTGATTCCCTGCAATAAATACATTTCTGGAAGGTGGATGATGAAGATTAATTATACTGCAAGGATTTTTCTTGTCAGTGGCTTCTAGGAACTGTTGTTGTCATAAAGAGCACACTGAGGTGAGGTGGCCTTATTCTTCCATAAGCCACTGGCTAAGATTCTCAAGAACTTTCCTACTTGGAAAAATGGAGCAAATGTGCCTTTCACCCATCACCAACTTGTCAATTTAAAGACCAACTTTTAATGGACCTATTATTTATGCTCTAATCCTGTAAAATATAAAAATTCACAATTTCTTCTAAATTCTTGGTTAAAATAAATAATACAAATCTAAAATAAATATTTTATAGAAATATTATCATAGTATTATATACTTTAAATAGTATCATAGTATTACATATTCTGAAATAGTACCAGCTACAGCTGAAATACATAGGTATTTCATAGTTAATTCACCAGGCTCTCTGTAAATGCAATAAATAGTTTGATTTATTATAAAAGAAACTAAACGCTTCACAGTATAACAGATGCTTTCCTACTACAAAGTCCGTTAAATGTTTCTTTTGTAAGAGTCTTGCAGATTCATGGAGCTTTGGGTGGACAGAAAAATTGTCTACATTTAGATTAATTTCTCCAAGATCTCTAGCAACTATGTGTTGTAAATAAAGTAATCCTGACACCAGAGACACCTGATGCTGCTATTTCAATTCAGGTCTTATATGCAAACAAAGCAATTCAAAACTATTAGCATCTGCCCCCCATAAAATGTTAGATCTTAATGCCTCGGTAGTATTTAGCTGTCTCAACTCCAAAGTAAATATTTTTTCATCTGGAAACAGTCAGAATCTACAGCAGAAATTTAAAAAAAGAAATAATGCTTTAAAATACTTAGAAAGGCAACTTTTGCAAAATGGGTGATTACCTTTCTCCATTTACAATATTAAAAGATAATTACTGAAAACTACGATGGTAAAAGCAATTTTATTACAATATGCAGCCAAACAAAGAAATCATCATAAAATGGAGTGGTTTAAAGAATATATTTAACATTAGAAAAAGAAAAAAACTTAAAGAAAGTATTCAGTCAAGAACATCTTCCATGCCCTATCCCTAGCATTTTTCAAGGCCAGGCTGAATGGGGCTTTGAGCAACCTGATCTAGTGGAAGGTGTCCCTGCCCATGGCAAATGGGTTGGATCTAGATGACCTTTAAGGTCCCTTCCAACTGAAATGATTTATTGATTCTGTGATCCATTATATTAAAAAGAGTAATACATTCTGAAATTTCTTCATATTAACCTCCCAAGATTACAACCTACTTGTCTTTCCTCATGGTAGAAAGCTTTTCTGATATGCAGTCAGAACATCTAATTTCAATTACCATCCATTGCCCCTCATCTTCTGTTTTACTGAACTGTACCTTTAAAAATGTATTGTTAATCACAAATAAATAATACTATGCTTATATTAGACTTCAGATGATTGAAGACCCAGCCTAGGCTCCTACAGTATACTTGGAACCTTTAATATAATTTATGTTAGAAATTGGCTCACATAATTTTGAACTCATCTTAAGAAAAACCAGTAATTTTTTTAAAAGATGTTTTAAAGAAAATGTGTAATATACTGATACTTTGAAACCTAAATGAACAAAAATTAATTATATTTTAAAATAGGGAATATAAAATAGGTTAAAATAATTTGTTAAACTACCAAAGACAATTTCTATCATAAACAGAGAATTACATGCAAGATGAAGACTGACTGGGGGACAAGTTATTTCTCCTCAGTCAGATCTCCTCTTTAAACAAATAGAATACCTCTGAGAACCATGAGCTATTTGACACAGAAATGCAATCACCAAAAAGATACTGTGGGAGCAGAGGGTTCAAGTCCTTCCAATTCAAGGTAACACAAGAATAGCTGTGTAATTGTCCTCCCCAGTTCAGTGTCTTGAGTCTCTCCCCACTGAAACTGCACTGGCACCCATGCAAGTACATCCCAACAGCAGCAGCCTCACTGAAAGCTCACCTTGCCTGGAAATTGAAGCAAACTGAAATACTTGTGATCAGCTAACACTAAAATTTATGAATAATGTGAAAAGGATAAGTAACTAGGACAATGGAAAGGGAAATATTGAGAAACTTCTAAAATATCATTTACTAGCTCAGAATAATACTCCTAGTAAGGCTGTCATCTCATATACATGGGGTTGTAATGCTAAATTGCTGTGTTATACTACCAGCAAAATAGGAATAAAATAATTTTTGATTTAAAACTTTTGAATGTAATAAAATTAATTGCATGTACTGTTGCATTGAAGAACAACAGTATTCACTATATTTCAATATTAATAAATGCAAGATCTGTATGAAAAATCCTAGAAGTTACTACCTACTTGCTCTCTTTTTCTTCTAATATGACTTGAACAAACACATGTTCATTAGAATATTATGCTGACCGTTTCTGTTCATATGAAAACATTGTACTGAAAAACAGCTTCAGCAGTACAGTGGCCAGAACAGAATTTAACTATTTGAACAGGATATTTATTGCAAATTATTCCATCATTATTTTTCAGACATCTACCATCAACTTCCACGTAATAATTGTTTTTCCATTTTTCACTTCTACAGGATTTACCTTAAAGGACTTACTGGGACAGCGGGCAAAATAAGTAGTATAAGCCAACCAGGAAATGATTTTAGCACAAAGGATGCAGACAATGACAAATGTATTTGCAAATGTTCACAAATGCTAACAGGAGGTATGAATGTTTTTATGTTTCTCAGTCTTCCTATTTTTATTGGCACTGAAATTGTCTATGAGATAAATTTGACTTAGTAAATTTTGATTATTAAAAAAGTTCAAAACTCACAGATAGAAATACTTCAGCCTCTCAAGTAAATGAAGTATTTTACTATTTGACAAAAATTAGTTAAAATAAAACCAGAGAAGTGAAAACTGAAGGGAAAATAAGTCCCTGAAGTTGGGGTACAAGAAAGTCTCTAATTGTGGAACTCATCAGAGACACAGCAGATTCCTCTTCCAAGGAATGACATACATTCAGAGATCAAAATACAACTCCCTGCAAAAAACCTCTTTCAGAGATTCAGCTGTCAGTGAAATGGCTCCCGATTCTTTAGGCATAAGCCCTTTCCCTAACTACTCAAGAATGAAAACCCCCAAGAGCTGCTGTGTGCTACAAGTGCCACTGAAGGGTACAAGAAGTTAATTCCTTATTTCAATATAGTTATAAAGTGGTAGAGATATACCACAGATATATCTACAATCTTCTAATGATTGTTCACTAGTTATATTTGAGTTCTAGGTGGTATTTTTATCTTCAACTACACAAGTAATTCTATATAATTTGTTAATCTAGTATTCCACATTCTGAAATGTAAACAAGTGCTTTGTATATTTGGCTTCTCTTCCTGTTACCTCTTAAGCAATTGTTCATTTTCCTATAGCACAAGCTGCAAGAAAAAAAGACAGCTTCAGTTTATCCAAAAGGATAGTTGGAATACTGCCCTGCAAAACAGAACACACACACTATCGTCACCATAACAGAAATATAAAAATATTATTTTATTAATAAAAATAATTTTTGCTTATGACCCACTAAGAAGTCAGGACTATATGGATACAAAGTACATTTGGGCTGTTTTTTCTCCTTTTCCTTCTTATGAAGTTTCCGGAGGTTTTGAACTGAACATCCCAGAGAACTGAGTAATTGCTCTAGAAAGAATTAAGAAAGGAGTTTAAATCTGTGAAAAACAGTTTACCAAAGAGTAGATAAAACCAAAGGCAACTCAGTATCATTATAGTTCGAGTTATGCCCTCAGACTGTCTGAAATGTTTGATGTGGATAATAAATTGATTGAACACTTTCCTTTCTCAATTTTCAAATACAATGTTCTGTGCAAGATTCAAGAAAATAGAGTTGATACACAAATACATTTCTTTCCTGAGTTTGGGGCAAGTATTTTACATCGACATTTCCAAATCGTTAAGAACAAAAAACTGGGTTTTGATTTCTTTCTCATTTCCAGACAACAAAGTGACCTTAAATACTATTTTGAGAATTACTTCTGCTGATGTTTGTCTTCTGTCTTGCAGGATGGTGGTTTGATGCATGTGGTCCTTCTAACCTCAATGGAATGTATTATCCATTACGACAAAACAACAACAAGTTTAATGGGATCAAGTGGTACTACTGGAAGGGCTCAGGATACTCTCTCAAAGCTACAACTATGATGATTCGACCAGCAGATTTCTAAATGCTTTGTCATTATGTGAATTATGTATTGTATAGTCTTCAAAGACTTATTTTACCAAACAACTTGTCTCATTTTTTCAAATCCAGAAACATGCTCTAGCGTTCTGAAGTGTCAGTTCAGTACAGTTCCTGAATTGCAATCACCTTGATCAGCTAAAGCTTATATTATGCAACCAGACACAATGTCTAAAGCGTTGACCTGATATAACAGTGATTTGGCCAAATGACTCAATAAAAAGAACATCCAAGAAAACATCAGAGAACTTAAGGACTCTGTTTTACTGATCATTATGTTATGTATGTGTTAGTAAATAACTGGAACTGTGAAGAAAAACCTAAAATAGTTTTAGGAATATGCATTTTGCTTCACCACTGAACTTTAAACATTAATATAAAACACTTAGCTAGTTCTAGCTTAGTTTTAGCTAGATCTAGAACTATTTATCTTTCTGTGTCATGTGTGCCCTATATGTACATTAAAAAAATACTTTTCTGTAATTAGCTCAATCCTATAGTTAGGGAATACAGTCTTTTCCCCCATAGTCTCCTGAACAATTTCTTATACTTATTTGAGGTTTTTTTCCACTAGCCTGTATGACTATGTTTAACAGAGGACAAATAGCATTTAAGCAGTTTGCATTTATTTTTGGGAAATACCATTTACAAAAGTCATCATTTTTTCAGTCTGTTTCAGTCACTGTCTTTAAATTACAGAAAATCCCTATGAATTACAATATACCATGTATTCCTATACATTTTTATGAAGATTGCACTTTTTTTTCTTCACTTGTTATTTACCTGTAAAATAACTGACCAGTATTTTGTAAAGTGAGACAACGGCATTAACACCAGATGTCCAGTTGTCTATGACAATCATGTATCACCTGGTGATGTAATATAACTACATGTTTTGTAAAAATAACCTACCTGAAAAACATATGCATGTTCTTTAATACAATTAAATTTATGCTTATGACTTAAGTTACAAATTACTACATTTTAAGAACAGGAAGAAAAATAATCTGAGAATTATCTAAGGTCACAGTATATTTTTTTTTCAGTGAGGTTAGGACTTCTTCCTAAAAATTCTCTGTGGGTAGGCCCTCAATATACACCACAATGTGAATAAATTACTCTACTGGGTAATCTTTCCTTTTTTTTTTTTTCCCTTCATTTTACTACTATATGATTTAAAATTGCAAATCAGATTGAGAAGATATTTTTTCATACATCACAATAATTTAGTGTAGGTTTTACTCAAAATTAAGTTTAGTTTTTAATTCTCATGCTCATTCTTTGCCTAATATTTTTGTAAAACTTTGATTTCAGTAGATGACTGAATTAGTTACAATGCAAACACTTAACCCAAAAATAACCCCAGACATATTTCTGGAAGCTAACTTAACAAAAGGTGCTGTAAGGGCAACAGGGCTTGTGAAGGGTCTAGAAAAAATATTGCATGAGGAGGGTTGAGGGATCTGGGATTGTTTAGATGGAGAAGAGAAGGCTCAGGGGGGACCTCATCACTCCCTACAATCACCTGAAAGGAGGCTGTAGTGAGGTGGGGTCTGATCTCTCTTCTGGCCTTAAACTGAGACTGGGCAGATTCAGATTAAATATTAGAAAAAAAATTTCAGTGTTTCAGTGGTCAGGCATTGGAACAGGTTGCCCAGAGAGGTTGTGGAGTCACTATTCCTAGAGGTGTTCAAGAGGCATCTGGATCTGGTGGGTGATGCTGTTTACAGGTTACAGTGGAAGTGCTGGGTGGACAGTTGGACTGGATGATCCTGTAGGTCTCTCTTAACCTTGATGATTCTATGTTTCTATCTTGAAAATACTAAATGGTTTTGAGAAAGACTGAATAAATCTCTCCATTTTATACTGACAATCATTAAAGGTGCTGTCAGAGTACCCCACCACTCACACCACCGCAATTCTTCACTGAAAATGTGTGTCATCATTACTAAGTGTAGCAGAGACAAAATAATATTTCTAATATTACTTCATGATCTGATTTTATATAAACCTAAAGAATGTAAATTAATAGTTACTGTCTCAAGAGTTCCATAAAATAATCTCTATGTATTTGAAATAACTGTTTAGTATTTTACTATTTTTCATAGAAAACTTGTAATGATATACATATCCCAAACTAAAGAAAAAATACTTCCCAAAATTGCTTTCACGAATTTTCAAGAAATGTCTTAGAGAAAAGTCTAGAAGAGTCATCACATTAGTAGAGGGGCCACACATACCAACAAGCATACAGCATACCAAGAGAAGCCTTAAGAGATGTCGTTTCTCAGCCTTGAGCAGAGAAAGGGAAGGGGAGACCTCAATGGTACCTGATTGAGGGTATAAGGAGGACAAAGCTAGACCCTTCTTGGAGGTGCTCTGCTATGAGACAGGAACAACAGGCAGTAAATACAATTTGGAACTGAGGAAAGTGAATTTTCCTTTTCATTTATTCATTTATTACCAGAAGGGTAGATTGGACAAGTCCCTTGGAACACAGTGTTGAACTAGGCAACCTTCAGAGGTCTCTGCTAATCTAAAATACTTTATGATTCTATGAAATTTAATAGAAATGACAGGTCTACATTACTGCATTTCCTGTGTTGGTAGATTTAATCAGACAACTAAAGAAAATACTCCCAATATTTGAGATAGTAAGCATATCCACACCAATAATAAAAGGAAAGAGAAAAATAAAGCCAACAAAACAAAAATCCTCAAAAATCCTTAAAAGCCATGATGGCATCTGAATACTCAACCTGGCAAGAAAAGCAGTGGTAATTTCTAGTTGACACCAACTTTCATTATTTTAGTAAGAAAACCCTGTATGACTAAAATAATTTAATTTTAAACAGCTACTTTTGATTTGTTGAAAAAAAAGTTTATAAAATTTAAGGCTTTTTGATGACTGTTCTGGGAAAGTGATCAAAAGTACTGATGTAGACATTGAATGGATCAATTATTTAATGAGACTTCATTTTGGGGGAAAAGGGATCAATTTATCAACACCAATGTAACATTTTAGAGGGAATATGTCTTTAAATGACATTTCATCTAAAGAAGATTGCATGGCTTGAACTCCAAACACCAAAGTGAAGCAACAGGAGGACATGTCAGAAGGAAGGCAATAATAGGAAACAGAAGGCTGCAAAAACTGTTTTGGACTTGGTACAAACAAGTAAAACATAACAGCAAGGTAACCCCTACTTTTAATTCCTTCCTGTAATCAAATAAACAGTCTGTGAAACTAGAATGTACTTCCATTTTCTCTAAGTACTTTGTAGGAAGCAGGAAATAAACAAGAAAAAAAGAAAAAAGCAAATAAAAATACATTAATAAATTAATGCGCAAATAATAATTGCATGTTTAAAAAAATATGGTATGTGTTACAGTAAGAAATTAGAGTGACTAAATAAGGAATGGTTGTGGAAATATTGCCTCAGACTCCAACTTTGTTCCTTTGCAAGAACAGCACACTGCAAAAAGAAGTGATTCAGGTTCTTAGCACAACACTAATCTCCCTTAATTTTACATTCTCACCATCTCTCAGATTCTCCTTGCTTTGGCTTCAGGAATAAAACCTCTAAATGGGATCTCAAAAAAAAAAAAAAACCAAACCACAAACCAGGAGGAATCACTTCTAAAGAATGCTATGTACATTGTTATTGATAGCATACTTTGTTATTAATCAAGGTAGTCTGAAAAGAAACAGAAAACTCAAAGCAATTTAATATGAAATTCAGTGTAGATTTTTTCATAGAAATACAGAAAAGGGGAAAAAAGAACATGCTTCTTATTTATTTTTCACATTAAGTTTTGCCATTCTTACTGTATTTGCTATATAAAACAATCTACCTTCTCATTTTATAAAAAAGTATGAAATTATCATGGATAATTAATTTCTTTAAGGGTTAAGCAGTTATTTGAGATTAACTGCTACAGTTCCCCTAAACTTTGAGAACATACACCTTACAATCATGAAACAAATAATACATATTAATGATGGATATGTAAATTTACATAAGTTATAGATTTGGAATGCTAAATAGAAGTTCTTAACAGTTAATAAAATTATAGTAAAAATAAATTTCATACCCCATTAACTGTACTTTCTTCAAAGCTGGTAAGAAACTTTGAGAAACAAATTGCAGACATTAATTTAGGGGAGGGAAAATTATTGGAATGATTGACTATTAACCAGCTAGAATTCTACTTGTTTTAAAACCAAAATAAAATTCCTGTTTAATCAATTACAACACATGAAGTGTATTGAGGTCTACACAGGTACATCATGCCCCCACATACCCATTTGTGCACTAGTTCCTAATTCAGTACTTGAGAATGATTATTAGAGGCAGGAAAAATGCTTCATTTTTTCCTACTTAGCAGTTCTAGAAGACCACAGTAATTTTCCATTGCCCAAGTAATTTCTGGGCCAAAAAAACTGAGTCCTTGACCTGCAAATATTTCCATTTGGCAGTAACATGCCTCTCCAATTTGTACACAGGTAAAAATAGAAATAAAATTAAAGTACATTTATACTTCAGTAAGATGCTGGTTTATTCAGGTGTTAATTGGTGAATCAACATTTTGTGTTTTTCACATGTACCAAAGTTTTTGCACACACTTCAAAAAGTATTGGATGAAGAAGAAAATAACTCCTCACAGTATCTGCTTTAAAAAAATATTTTTCTAGTAGGCTTCTTTATTCACAAAACCTATTTACAGGGCAAATAATTTCCCAGATAAACAAAAGAAGGTTCACAAGCTTAAAGGACCATTAAACTTACAGGAGCTGCAGGGAAGCTGGATGAAAGCTCATATGGTTCCTCTGAGATCCAATGGCCTAATTCCAAAGACCACAGAACCTAAAATAAAGTAAGTGGTAAGTAGAATTTTAAAATTTCTAAAATAAACTTTTGGAACGTGTAATTAGAAGTTACAATAGCTGGTTTGCTATTTCATTTACCCAAACCAAATCATTTGCTGAAAAATCAATAAATAAGAAAGATACAATTTTTATAACTAAAATAAACCATTGAAATATCAGTCATACTTCTATGCACAGCTATATTAAATTTTAAAACATTGTGAGGCTATTCAAAAACTCAACTATTTTTTAATCACAATACATAGAGCAAAAAATTTGAAAAGGGAAGTCATACCAGTTCTGCTCTCTCAGTTCAGTAATCGTTGACTTTCATGAGGTTCCTGTTGGCTCATTTCTCTAGCTTGTCAAAGTCTATCTGAACAGGAACACCCATCTGGTGGATCAAACACTCCTCACAGTTTTCTAACATCTGCAAACTTGCTGAGGGTGCATTCTTCCCCATCATCCAGATCATAAATGAAGATGTCAAACAATATGGGACCCCTACTACTAAAAGGATTATGCAACTATTGCATAGAATCCACATTACATATATAAATCATCCTGAAAAAAGAAGAATAATCAATTTCTTGCTCTGTGGTAACCTCCTTTGTCAGTGTCATACTCTAGAGCACAAAAGAAGACTGCAGAACACTGACTCTGCAGAAAACACATAATCATTTGTGTGCAACTGAGCTCTGAAACACTGGACCAGTATGATCTTTAGAGAATAGTAATCTTAAAACTGTGTGCCAGACTTGCAGACTTCTGTTCCAATCAGGACCACCACCAAATGTTTAACAGAAAAAACCTACTTAAAATGGTTGTAGTTCCAATTTCTGATATTTAATTTTTTTTTTTGTAAAACTTTCCCCAAACTACTCCATGCAGCATTTTTTATGGATTGATTTTCTAAACATTCTTCAGAACTATCAACAAGAGAAAGTTCCTACATTGGCTCTGCCCTTGAATCACAATAAAGGACATTCTACTCCTAATTTGTAGACAGCCTAAATTCTGAAGACCATTCTGATGGAAGATGAGATTCTTTTTTTTTATTGTTTTTATAAGTGGTGAGCCATGAAGCTTCTCCCAGAGGTAAAACACTGGTATCTTCCTTGCCAGTTTGTCCACTGTCACTCAATTCAACAACTTATCTTATTTAAAGTATTTGAGCTTCACAATGTCTCTTCTGTAATTGCCATCTGGTACCCCTTAAGTTCAAAAAAAGCAATGATACCAACCAGTGAGACATCCTGTTGCTCCTAGAGCAAATGAAGCTAACTGAACAAGAAGCAGACATATACCCCCTAAATGGGATATATGGAATTTGTCAGAAAGCAAATCCCTGTTTTAGGGTAATTCAGCCTCTCTCATACCTTCCCTAAATAGCTCTCTAGCCATTTCAAATAGATTAAGTCATTAGCACAGCCATGCACTATTAAATAGTTGTCATTATTCATCTTAGAACAAGCTGAATTTCCTCAGGGTCTGAAATTATTCCCATGCTTGATTCACAATGACTGAAATACTCTGCTATACAAATGCATATATTATTAGTTTAAATTTAAATTATAAAATGTTACCTTTTAAAATTCGTGAATGACTCTATGAAATATTCCCCATAGATAAAAACTGGCATTGTATATACTGAGCATGGTAAAGTTATCCTTTACAACATTACAGCTCACTAATGGAAAATTCTAAGCTGAACAAATTGATCATAAACTAGCAATGTAAACGTTACAAAATGGCCCAATTGCTTGTAAGAAAAAAAGCTTCTATAAAGGGCTCTTTTGCCCCAAATCTGTTGCTACAAGCAGTAAATTGCAAATTCAGTTTTCATAAAAAAATTATTTTCTAAATAAGTTCTACAGTTTTCAGTCAAAGTATCTTATGCCTGATGACTTCCAGGGAAACCAACAACCTCAAATGTGAACTTCTACAAAAGCTGTTGCCTTGTTTGATGTGAAAAGTGATGTTTGACTTATGAAGAGAGGTGTCCAATTTTGCAAACTATTGGAAATGAAGAGTGATTTTTTTTCTGAAAATGAAATGCAGCATTATCCTTAGACTTACTGCTAAACTTGATTACAAAACATCCAAAGAATACTATGTTTACTTTTAGAAAAAGCACAATCAAATACTTGAAAATGCAACAGCTGTGCAAAAAGATAAAATAATTTCTACAGTCATTATATCATATCAAACATAAAAATAACATTTAAGTACATTAATAAATCAACGACCTTTAAATAATATTCAAAACCTAATAATGCATTGCAATGTTCAGCTAAGAAAAGTATTGTAACTTGTTAAAAAAATACAGTTGAGACTGCAACTTAGGATTTTAAGTTATAAATTTTAGGGTGGTACCTGTGTATATTTTTTATAATTACTTCTAACAATTTACAATAAGAATATTAAAGCCTCTTCACTTTATACTTATAGCTGTAGATATTTATTGACCATAAAGGAAACTTGTTAATGTAATTTCTCTTTTAATCACAATACAAATCAACTTTAAATGAACCAAGAAAGTTGTAACTTTGAATAAAATTCATATAAAGACTACATTAAAAAAATTCTTCATAAATAAACTTGAGCAGGAACAGATGTATCGTGCTGTATTACATATACATCATGTCCTTATAGTACCAAAATTATGTTTTCATCAAAAGTAGCTGAAAAACAACATAAACAGATTAAAATATAAACCCAAAAGATTCGTTATGATTAAGTAATCCTATTTCATTTTCCAGGCCAATTCTACAGCAATGACCTTTATCAACCCTTGTAGTATTTACAGAATTTTGTTTAGAAATAAAATTTGTTTGTCTTAACAAAAGATGGATTAATGCTCGTCTATCATGGTTCTGGAACTGAGTATAAAAGCATCATATCTACTCTCTTAGATAAAAAGAAAATTGGATACTGAGTTCATGAACAGGTCCTGCAGTAAATAATTAGGTCACCACTCACTAAAACATTCAGTTTTCATGAAAACAAAGGAAAGAGCTGTCCATTCCAAGTCACTGAAAGTTTGTTTCTGACTTTGGCAAATTTTCAACCAGTTATATTTTCAAAGCAACACCAAAAAAAGCTTCAGATTAATATGATTCAAAAGTAAGTTATGATTTGCAATATTATTCTCAGCTGAAATACTTCAGAATGTGTGTTTCTATTGAGAAAAAAAGTGCTATCTAGAAGTTTTCAAATGTGCAGTTACAAAAGAATTAGCTCAAAGAGTCTGAAAGCACACTATTTGGTTAATTATTTAAGGTCTCTCACCTATCCAGCTAGCACAATGAATGATCATATGGTACTTGTACATCAATAAATTCATGAAAATGTAAATGGAGTGCTATGAAGTTTAAATG